TTGCTGCTTTGTGTACAACTTTAAGCCAGGCAGTGCTACCGAATAAGAAAACTGCAAGCAACATGCATACAACTCACACAGCTGATGGGGTCAGCAACTCAGGTGAAGGGAAAAATCAAGAAAATGAGCATGCTGTTTCTAGGAGCTGTGCTGATAGCAACAATTCAGAGGATGAGGATAATAGAGAGAAGGAGCCTGCCACTTCTAGAGGCTGCTCTGATCGCTTGCATGGCACATCAGAGAATAGACAGTTGGGTGGAGAGGATTGCCCATTGATACCACCGAAATCCTCACCAGAAATGGCTGTAAATGGATCCTGAGTTGTATTTTAGAACCATAGCCAGTGCAAGTTACTACTTTATGTTCTTGATGCAACTTGTGAATGTGTGCTTGGTGCCAGAAAGAGGTCCTAGGCAACAGATGAACATACTTTGGAAGAGAAGAAGTGAACCTGCAGAAGAGGATGAATTTTGGTCTATGGCTGGCTTCCATCGATGGTAGGAGCGAATACTGTATAGTGTGCCATTGCGATGCGGAAAAAAGAAAGTCATACTCTCACAATGTGGGGCCTGTCTTCTCTTCTTCACTTGGCCTTTTTGGGGCTTTGAAGTATTTGCTTTTGTAAAACATTCAATCAGCATTTGATTTTCTATATCCAATTTTATCTTTTTTGCTTTTGGTTTTTGAGGTTCCCCCTTTTGTTCGCAAGTTTGTGTTTCTTCATGTTGGCTCTTTTTGGGCTTGTGATAGATAGGGCACCAATACGTGCCCTGTATGGCGGTGGGTATACCTCTGATGTTAAAAAAGTTTTAGTGGTGGGTGAGTGGTTGTAATAGAGAGTGAGAGAGAGAGAGAGAGAGAGAGAGAGAGAGAGAGAGTGGGTGTGTGTAGGGAGTGGGTTTAGAGGCCAATTTTCGTCAAATGTAGTATGAGTGGAAATTTTCAATTTGTAGCTCACTGTAAATTAGTTATTGACTTTATAATTATCCAAGAAAGCATTTGGAAGGTTTTCAGTCTGCCTTATTACCCTGCAACCCCAAAAACCACAAGTGTACAGTAATTGTAATTTGTAGGCAGCTCCATTCCGCTAGGAAATGTTTCGAAACAATTAAGGCATAGAATGAAAGAAGCTATGAATAGTGGAAGGTTTTATTTATTTATTTATTTTTGTCGAAAGGATCTTGTATTCAAGAAGCCCCAAAGCAAGAAACCCATACAGAGCAAACAAAGCAGACCATGCAAGGAACAGACAATGCAAGAAGAGACAAAATAAATCAAGCAAATACATTTAAACTGATCTAGAAACAAACGCCGGGATAGACAATCCAACAAGAAGGATGTCAAAACGATTCAAGACCAGTCAAAAGTCAAATTAAGCATGGTGAGGACAGGGAAGTCCGTACTTACAGAGAATGTGCACAAGATAGGTGGGGGGTCGTTCAACCCAAACTTCCGTACTCCTCGATAGTGCCAGCGACGCAAGATGATCCGCCGCTTGATTACAATTCCTGGTGGTCCAATTCCACCCGCACCCTTCAAAATACCGTTGCTCATCGCGGATGAGGGTAAGAATCAGGTACAAAGTCCAACTCCCTCGACCAAAAGAGCCACAAACACTTTTGATAAACTCCTGAGAATCTGACTCGAAACAAACTATGTTGTGACCCCGTTTCTTAGCAAACTTACAACCCTCCCATAACGCAGTTGCTTCCGCCACAAGAGGATTCTCCGCTTGAAAAGCCACAGATTTGGCCCCCAGAAATCTCCCATCGAAATTACGAATAATTATGCCAGCCCCCGCACGACAAGTGCTTTTCTGCCAAGCGGCATCAACATTTATTTTGACAAGAGGCTCAGAAGGGGCATCCCATGAAGCTTGGGTAGAGGGATGGACAGAAAATGGTCTTGATGACTTACTGGGGTTGGGGTGTGTAGTTGTAAAAAAACCACCCTATTCCTAGTCTTCCATATATTCCAGCAAGTGTATGCAATCTGGCATAAAATTCGGCTTTTCTCCTCCTTTGTGTTAAGGTCCATGGTTATGCAATTCCGCAACCATGTATGCAGAGGAGATTTGCTGCCTATCAACTCTATAGGTTAAGGGGCCTCCAAACCAAACAGGGCAAAGCAATAACATGTGCTTAATTGTTTCCTCAGTAATGCTTAAGATGGGTTTCGATGTTCGTTGGGTCAACTTGGTGATGAATTTGGTTTGAATTGTGCAATTCTCATTAGTTTTGAATGGGGCGCAAGGTGACACCTTTACACCAACAAGAGGCATCAGACAAGGAGATCCACTATCATCGTACTTGTTTTTGATTGTGCGTGAGGTCTTCTCCCTCATGATTAAAAAATCTTGTGATGCTAATTATTTGTAGGGTCTAAAGTTTGGAAGAAGACGACCTATTCTTTCTCACCTTCTTTTTGCAGATGATGCCCTCTTCTTTATCAAGGCCAATACTCAGAACTGCCATAATATGCGACTGTTGCTTGATGGCTACTACCGTGCATCTGGTCAGCGAATAAATTTTGGGAAATTAAGCCTTTTCTTTAGCCCAAATACACCTGCAAGTATCTGCGCTGAGTTGGGTGCCATTCTTGGTATGACTATGGTAGATGACCCAGGTAAATACTTGGGTCTTCCTACAATGCTGGAGAGGTCTAAGAAGGAGGCGTTGCAATTTGTGAGGGAGAAGTTGTTAATTAAATTAAGCAGGTGGAAACAATCCCTTCTTTCACAAGCCGGTAGGGAGGTTCTCATCAAAGCCATTGCACAAGCTGTCCCGACTTACCCTATGAGAGTTTTCTTATTTCCTAAATCGTTATGCATGAAGATGAACGCTGAGATTGCCAATTACTGGTAAGGCCAGAAACAAGAGGAAAGGAAGCTCCATTGGGTACGTTGGACCGAACTAGGCCTGCTGAAGCATGAATGGGGTATGAGCTTCCGTGACTTTCATGATTTCAATTTGGCTATGTTAGCTAAACAGTGATGGCGGCTTCTCACAGAACCAGATTCTCTCTGGACCTGTTTAATCAGAGCCCATTACTTCCCTGAGTGTAACTTTATGTAGGCTACCAAAGGTAGTAGGGCGTCGTGGGCATGGGCTAGTCTTATTGAAGGAAGGAAGGTGATCCTAAAGGGGGCAAGATGGAAAATTATGAATGGAGCGCAAGCGAGAATATGGACTGATAAATGGATTACTAACATACAAGGAGGTGCTTTATGTCTTGTTCCTAGTGCCATTGTGGATAGAAATGTGATTGTGGAGACCATTATTGATTGGAATTCAAGATCGTGGAACTTGGATATAATTCGGCCTCTATTATCGACACAAGAGGCTCTTGCCATTCAGTTGACCCCTATCGAAAGCATCTCGAAGGCGGATCGCTTGGTGTGGCCGAATGAGAAAAATGGAAAGTACTCGGTAAGATCTGGTTATCATAACATTCATACCCATCATCACTGTAGCTCTTTGCGTAGGCCTTCTTCCTCTATGTCCATTGACCAAATGTCTGGAAGTTGATTTGGCATGCGGATTTCACTCCAAAAATCCGTCACTTCTTGTGGAGAGCTTTCAATGGCCACGTGGCTATCTCCTCTGTTCTTTATAAGAAGAAGCTGCGTAATTCTCCTTTATGTCCAATCTGCAATGAATAGAGGAAGTTAGGTCAGAGAATTAAGGAATTGGAATTGGAATTGAAATTAGATTAACTACTCTACTTAGTTGGTTCCATTTCTAATTTTAAAAGTATGTAATTATGAATTTTAACGTGGAATCTACATACTTTTTGGGTGCTTATAGTAAAATGTTTTAGTAAGTATTTCAACCATCTCTAACTGATATGTCAAATTTTCACATGGACATGAAATGACAAAAATTGAAGGTTAAAGTTGCTCTAATCGAATAGTCAAATCCTACATAGATTTGAAGGCCGGAAGAGATATGTCAAAAATAACATATCAAAAAGCTTGATGTTAAATGTTATTTTAATATTTTATTAGTTATGGACCCCACTATCATTTACTCTTTTTTAAAACTTTATGCATTGTATGTGCCTCATTTGCTTTTAAAAATATAATAAAATAATTTGATATTTAGCATTTCAGGTGGAGTTAAATTTTTTCCAAAGTGTCAAATTGTTACATAAGTCATCAAATTCAAATTTATCATTTTGCATTTGACATCTCCCTTGAAGATGCTCTAAGAGTATCTCCAATGGAGTTGTCAAAAATCAAACGTCAAATTTAAATTTGATGACTGATGTGGTAATTTGACATCTTACGCAACTTTACACTTCACCCGATATGTCAAATTAAATTATTATTTTATTACATTTTAGTGTTGATTTATTTTAATTAAAAAGAAAAGAAAAGAAAAAAATAAAATATTCATTTGACATCTTGCTTTTAGGATGTCAAAAATAATATCTCAACCTCTAGCCTTCATTCCACATCAGCATTGACACATCTGTTGGAGTGACGTGAGATGTTATTTATAACTGTTAAATGTCTATATGACACTTTTGACACATCGGTTGGAGATGCTCTAAGGGAGTATATTTTCCCACTTATTTTTTGTCCACTTACACTCCCTGTATTGGAAATTGTAAAGGAGTGTAAGTGGAGGGAGTTGGAAATTGTAAAGGAGTATAAGTGGACAAATTGATAGTGGAAAAATCAGCACCCATCCCAAAATTAACGAACGAGTCTCAGTTAGAACGTAGATGTGCGTCTTAATCTAATGCAGCTGTTTAATTAACTCAGTTTTTCAACAAACTAATCATGTATTTTCTCCATTGGGGGAGGGTTAAGCGAAATGAGAAACTGGTTGCAGGGGAAAGGGGACAGGTGGCGAAGCAGTTGCAAAGGAGACGCCTCCAAGTTCGCAGAAGAAAGACACGTACGTGGGTACGTGGGTACGCGGCAGGTAGACGTGTCCACTCTGACTTGCTTTGTTCTGTTCTCTTGTTCACAAGTACCATGTACTCTCTATCTTCACTCTTGGACCAAAAATCTATCTTCACTGCATCATCAGTTCCATCGTACAGAGATAACCTCATATCCTTAATTCTTTCTTTTGATACATACCTATATATAATATTATCTGGGAGGAAGGGGTGTAGGGAGAGAAAACAAATCATCAAAGAAATAAACAAGTATTGAAGTGAATGATGAACACGAGCAGCAGTAATTTGGAAACAAGGCCTTCCTTGCTTCAGGAGCTACGTAGCTTCGAGAAAGGTGGCTTCTTCGACTTCGGCCACCCTCTCCTCAACCGCATCGCTGAGAGCTTTCTTAAAGCTGCTGGGGTCCTCTTCTCTCTCTCTCTCTCTCTCTCTCTCTCTCTCTCTCTCTCTTTTTTTTGTGTGTGTGTATGTGTGTGTGTGTGTGTGTGTATATGTATCTTCATGTGGATGTACGTACGTAGAATATGTGACATGAGCATTGTGTTAATAAGGCTGATTCGTTGCTGCAATCGACAGATCGGAGCTATTCAGGCTGTGTCACGTGAGACTTATTTCACAGCCACTGAAGGTGCCTTAATTTGTCCTCTTCCAACTTCTTATATTTTGCTTCTTCATTTCCCTATATATTCTCATTTATTTCCTTCTACTTTGAGTTTCTTTTCTTGGTATTATTTCTGTTCTCTCTTTTGAATGAGTTGAAGCCTCTCTCTCGAGGGAGGGATAAAACGAATGTTTAAGATTTGCTTATCCTCGTGTGCGCGTGTAATTGATGTATCTTGTCTCTTTTTGTTTTGGCTTGGGATGTTCACCATTATTCTTATAAGGTGCAGGGCTTGATTCAAGAGGTGGCGGTATCCCGCCGGAAATCTCAGGCAACAAAAAGCATCGGTTCCCTGACCTCAGAGGTATATGTTATGTTAATTTCTTCATTGTTTTATTGAATCTGGTCATCTCCTCTCTCTTTTTCTTATCAAACCATTCATTCTAATTTGTCCTTCCAAATTAGTTGGCGGGGGCTCAGTTATTGCTATGCATTGCACGATCGTCTCAAAGTGATTGTTTTACGTGCCCTTTGCAGGTGAAAACAATACAAAATCTCTCGAGGCTATGGTGAGTTTAAAGTTAACGTTCAATTCAACCATGTATTTTCATTGCACGATTCTCTATTGATCGTTTGGAACTCAAATTTATTCACCTGCATCCAGCACCAATCAGTTTAATAAACGATAAGGTGCTCCGGTGTCGATCGTTATATTAACAAATCACCATGCTCTGCAAAATTCACTGCTCTGGCCTCTGGTCATGACTGATGATGTAGTTAGTAGTTGCTGATTAGTTGTCATACTTTTTTTCAGGTGAAGCATACTGGAAAGGAATCTTTGCAATGGGGTTAGTAGATTTTATATTTGAATTACAAGCAAGAAATTGTATCAGCTTTACACAGTAGCCAATGCTAATGACTGAGTGTAATTCGTTTCCCCCGTTGAAATAAAGCTCTAGGTTTCAGTTCCTCCTGCTCATAATCGCGTGTAGCACAGTAGCAACTCGAAAGAAGGGAGCTAACAACTTGTTTTCATATCAGGGCTGGCTGCAGGGGTGTATTCAGGTCTCACATATGGACTGACAGAGGCTCGTGGGGCGCATGATTGGGTAATGGTTATATAATTTTTTTGGTCTCTATGATGAACGCTTCAGCATTAGGCATGCTAAGAATAGCTACTTTTATGGTGCGTGCTTAAAATTTGCTGCAGAAAAACAGTGCAGTTGCCGGAGCGATTACGGGGGTGGCTCTGGCACTCACATCGGAGGGGTCGTCCCACGAGCAGATTGTGCAAGGTGCTATAACTGGAGCTGCCATATCCACTGCTGCAAATCTTCTCTCGGGAATATTTTAGGCTGCTGATTGGGGCCTAGTCCAGCAGAGAGCTTTTCTTTGATAATGTGGAGATGTGATTTGCTCCATCTCTTGTTTAAGAAAACTTCTGGTTAGCATTTTTGCTTTTGGATCGGTTAATCATCACCATCAAGAATTTTCAGGGTCTACTAGACCTTTTTTCCTTGTATGGTTTTTGCTTAAACTTCACTGGTTTAATATCCAGATGGTTTAGCATTTGGGCAATTTGGGTGTGAGCCTTGGAATTCTGGCTTTTGGAGTATTGGGTGTGAGCCTTGACATTTTGGAGTATTGGGTGTGGATTTGACATTTTGGGGGTCTTGGGGTGGTTGTGAAATCCAAACTTCAAAATGTTGAATCTACACTTGAAATCTCAACGATGGTCTCTACTGGAATTCATCCTTTTTATAAGTTAATTTCACTTTTTCATGAATATTATACTTTTTCAATTTGGGTTTTAGTAAAGGCAGTTTTGGATTGGAATGTAGTTATGTAATTAGATTCTCTTTTAAACTCAAAATACAAAAAATCAAATCTTGAACTCCAAAACATCGAAATCCACATCTCAAACCTAAACTCTGAAATGTGAATGGTGCTAAAGACCTATAACCTCCGCACATTAAAATATAGTCTTTATACAAATTCATTACTATTATGACCCAATTTAGCTACCATATTGAAAATTTTCAAAGTGAAAGTAAGATAGTGTAAACAATTGACTCATATCATAACACAGGCATATTTAATGTACCTTTTTTTTTTGGGCATGAAATTTTAGAATTGCATTAATAATTTAGCCAAAAAAATTATTAGTTACAAAGAGCCATACAAATTATCCACAAAGAGCTATTATAATAACGGAATGATCTAATATCAAAATTAAGACAATATGGGGCTCCTCCACTAATGATCACGCATGATTGAAGAAACTCTGACATATGCATCCCAACTAAGAGTGTAACCTCAGACCAACCAAAAAGAGATAAAGTGTTACCCATCTCTTGTTTTTGTTATTACAACGGTGTTACGGTCAAAACAAAAATGTCACTATCGATTAAACCCTTTTATGTTATAACTAGCCACTTCATTGTGCTAAAGCTTGTGCCAATATTTTTATATATCACAGAAATTCTTGGAGGTGAAACATTCAAAATCTCACAAATTGTCTTTGGTTAATGACTAAGTTCAAAGCAAATGCTCTTAATTAAATAAAGATAAATTAGTACATTTTATTTAAATTAATTTTAAAAAATAACATGTTGCTATACAATTAGGAGACAACTGCCTCCAAAACTTTAACCCTCTATTTGGATGAGGAAAAATAATTCAAATTTAGCTAAAAGTCGGAAATTTAAGACGAGAAATTGGAAATTCCCTTGTTTGGCAACTTAAGCGTGGAATTTATTAAATAACGAGAGGAAAAAATCGTGAAAATTGGAGCATCAAATTTCCAAGTTTAATTTTCACAAAAATAGGCGTCATTTTACAATTTCCATAGTGCGGGAAATTGAGGCATTTTAAATTAAAAACAATGTTATAAAACTCAGATTTTAAAGATTAAAAAGAACAAAAAAAAAAAAACCGATTGACAAACGTTCTAGTTTATCTTGAATATAAACTATTAATTCATGTATTGGTTCTTGTGTTTGAAATTTTTATTTAAATGAGTGCTTGAGTTATTTGAAAGTTTACAGATACCGTTCCTATTCTTTTTTTTCGAAGATAAACGAAACCAATCAAATATTGATTCATGAATATAAATTCAAAAAACGACTGCTTTTCTCTGTTGAGCCGCCTAAATCTAATACTAAAAGAAAGGCAACCAAACCCATTTTCCCCAAACCGAAATCAACAGCGTTGTCCCTTATTCAAGCTGCCGCAGCGAAATCCAACCGCAAGAAGGTAACTTTTTTATTTTATTTTTAAAACTCTTGGGTTTTTTTTTTCTTTATATAATTGTTATATGTTGGTTAGGGTTTTTGTACGAAATTTATTGTTGTAAAGTTGCTTCCTTGAATTGCCCTTATCTCTCTCTCTGCAACAGTTTCTGCTAGATCGGTAGGGAAGAAGCCTTTATCTTTTCCTTTTAATAGGTTGGGTTCTCGATTGTGTGTGAATGTGGAAAATCTTGGGTCTTTTTTTATATTCTGAAAAAATTAGTGTAATGTTGATGTTGCTTGAACGTGTCGGCCTTAGCAGTTTGAGGGGAAAATAATTTAGGTTGCAGTTTCCCTGACTTAAAAAAAGCTGAGGTTGATATTATTGTTGAAGAAATGCGTTATGCATTGGAATGATTAAGTTGAAAAGATGGAACGAAGAAAAGTTTTGATGCTCCTATACCTTTTTTTTTCCTTCTTTCCAAGATAATGTATAGTATAATGATTCTTATAGAAATTGCCTAACTTTTTAGAGGGAGATCTTGTATAACATTTGTTTAGCACAGATAAATTTTCGTCTAATAAGTTCTAGTTCTATATTATAGTAGATTTTAGCCAATGTTGGTCATTGTTGATCGATTTGGCAGTTTCAATCTTCTTTCTGCTATGCAATGTTGGTCATTGTTGTTGGTTTTAATAGTTTATTTAAATGTTTATCTTTTGGCCCTTCTCCCTTTTCGTTCTTGATATTCACTTAAAAAATACTTGTTTAATTCTGAGATTTTTTGACATGGTTGACCCGCACACTGATATTCGATGAATGTGAATAACCTAATTAATGTTTAAATGCAGGGTGTTAGAGCATCTGGGAATCGTGGTATTGATATTTTCTTGGAACTTCAGGCAGTTGGCCTTTGCGGAGTAGGCAATTGTCCGTATTCATATTTGAACATTGTGATTTAGAACATGTCGGGTAATAAAGAAGAGAAAGCTCAGGCTGCTGCTGAAAGGATCAAGGCTGCAGCCTTGAGTGCCGCAAAAGGTCTTAGTCGAGCTCAGGCTGAAAGGGCAGCTGCTTCTGCTGCACGCAACGTTAATGCTTATGGGCAGAAGGAAGAAGGACCCAGCAGATGGCAGGAGAAAAGGGAAGCCAAGAGACAGATGTATTTGATGAGTACTGAAAAGGCAGTAAGATTGGGTGAACGAAAAGACCTTAGGTCGAATGTAACTACCATTAGTGGTGCGGCTTCACAATGCCAGAAGTGTTTCCAGCCCGGGCATTGGACATATGAATGCAAGAATGAACGTGTTTACATCTCGCGACCGTCTAGGACCCAACAACTCAAGAATCCTAAACTGAAGATGAAGGTCTCAGTATCCCACGATTTGGATATTCCAGATATAAAGGAAGAGAAGGGTGAAAAGCAGTCAAAGAAAAGCAAGAGGAAGCATCGAGCAGCTTCTGATTCTGGCAGTGATAGTGAGGCTTCAGTTTTTGACACTGATAGTGGGGCATCATCAATTACAGGATCTGATTATTCTTCAGAGGAGAGTAGTTCAGATTACAGTTCATCTTCTGATTCAGAGGAGGAAAGGAGGCACAGAAGGAAGAAAAAGAAGCAAAAGATGGGAAGATGGCGGAGAAGGAACAGCTCATCATCTGAATCTTCTGAGACAGAGTCAGCTTCTGAATCTGATTCTGATGATAGGAGGAGCCGGAGGAAGAGCAGGAGACACAGCAGAAAGCGTTAATTGAGGTGATGGAGCATAAAGGAGAGCACTTGTGTATGGTTCGAGATATGTTACGTTTCAAATTAGTTCAGTTGTGATTTTGGGGCTTCCTAGATGAAGGATTATCCATGGTCTGAAGCAAAATAATATTTGTAGGTGTTTCTTGTGATGTCTTACTTTGTGACCCTTGCTTTATTTGAACTTGCACTGTACTTGGTACTGTTTTTATAGATCAAGTTTTTATTTGGTAAATTTCCATTGTTTAAATAAATAAAAAACAAAAAAAAAAACACTTATAAGTTGGTTATATACAAATGAAGCTGCGATTTTGCATTGATCCAAGGATAGGTCTAGGCCTCTGCCTAAATTGTTGCAACTCCTTCAGGTATATTTGCCGGGCTTAAAGGGGAAGAGATTAACAGTTTATTGAACTCCATTGATTTGTGTTGTGTCATCAACCATCATGCTTGTGGGCTAATGCTCTGAAGGGCTTACAGTTCATGAAGACGTCAAAGCCAAATTTGATATTTTGTTATAAAAGAAAAAAGAAATTAGCTTATTAGGAGATCAATTTATGCAACCAAAGTAATAAAGAATGTAGCACACATAGGTTTAGTCAAGTTGGCTAGAGCAGATGTACTCGCCATTCTACACATGAGTTTGAATACCCCTTTCTATAATTTAGATTATTTTAAATAGAATATTGTTTCTATAAATAATAATAATAATAATAATAATAAAGAATGTAACCCCACTGAAAATAGAAAAAGAAACTATTAAGAGCCTTTCCATCGGACAGCCCTTGCTAGGGCAATAAGGGGCCCAAGCCCCGTTTCATGATTCCAGCGGCATTAAGCTGCCAGGGCAGCTGTTGGGGCCCACAAAACCAAGCTAGCCCTCAGACAAAATGAGCCCGAGCTCAAGCTTGGGTTTGGTGACGTCAGAAACAACAACAAAAAAATTTAAACAAAAAACAAAAAATTTCAGAATTTTTTAAAAATCAATACTTAGTCATATTTTTCACTTCCCACACTAAAACTCTATACAAATTTCTCTCATCATATCTCATGTGAATAGTTGTTGCCATGACAATGGGTGGGAAAACTACAAACTTTTACAAGGGCTGCCACTATTCACGTGAATAGTAACAACCCTTATCTTGCCCTTGCCCTTTGCCATGACAAATGGATGGAAGTGATCTAAGAGCATTTTCACTTGTTAGCCCCTTGCCATGGCAAGGGGAGCCCTAGGGCAGCTACTATTCATGTGAATAGTGCCTGCCCTAGCCCCCCCAACAAAGTGTGTTTCCAGCAGTTTAGGCTTGCTATGACAAATACTATTCATTTTTTTTTTTCACAACTTTGTTTACTTAAACAATTAATTTGGATAATATTTTCGGATAAGATTTTTGGGTTCCTATGTGTCAATACTATTCATATCGGATAAGATTTTCGGTTTCAAATTTCAGATAAATTTCAAATTTAAGATATATTTCAAAATTAAAATTTCAGATAAATTCAAAATGTCAAATTTAAGATACATTTCAAAATTCAAATTTAAGATAAATTTCAATTCCCAAATTTCATGTGAATTTCAAATTTCAGATAAGATTTTTACCCTCTAAAATTACGCCACGTGTCATCTCTATCTGCCTAAATTTTTCTATAAAACCAGAGGCTCAGCTCATACCTCCCAGACCATATCTTCTCTACATCTTCATTTCTCAGATTTTAGATTTCATTCTTCATTTTCAATGGCAGACATGCAAGAGGTTTTGGAGAGGCAAGAGCGGGAGAAAAGAGAAAGAATGTTTCGACGAGCTGCAAGCAAAAGGGCGCAGAGAGAACTAGAT